ATCAATGACGAGAGTTATTGATTGGCTGCCTCCTGCACGCCCCCTATTGGGATGGAGACTGAAACCTGGGCATGTGCCCTGACCAGGAACCAAACCGTGACCTCCTGGTTCATAGGACAATGCTCAACCACTTAGCCATGCCCGCTGGGCACTAGTGACTTTTAAACTTATTTTTTCTTTTTCTTGGCCCTCTTTCCTATTTATACTTCCTTGTTGATTACAACACTTGAAAAGAGCTGGACAATTTTTCAACAAATTTGGAGAATGCCTGGGGCAGGCTGTCTTAGAATACAGGTTAAGCGGCACACACAGACTCTAATGGCCTAGAGATGGGCTGACGCACTCTTGAAACAACCCAGACAGATGTGACAGATATCAGCTCCGATAGCTTCAAGCAACTGAAAACAAATAAACACTGATTACCGATGTTGAGTTTTGACATTATTTCTCCTATGGGCAAATTCTATCAGGTCTATACATAAAATTGCCATTTCTATAGGCCAAAAATAGCCCAATCTAATAGTATGTCCCTAGTAAACTACAGCTAGGACTTAATACTTTAGAAATCAGTAATAATTATCCCAAACAATGGCATAAAAAAACTATGCCATGTTACTAGACTATGGATTTCGACAGATGTTTGCCGTTTACCTTTTCCTTACAGCCTGCATTTTTATCTAAAATGCTAGGAAACGTTCGGCAAATTGGAGAATATTAACAGCCTGATCCAATTATCTTTAGCAGCCTTCTTCAGGTTACACAGGCTAGAGCTAACTTTTATTTCAGGATCTGCAGGCATCTGTTCCTACATAGAAAGGGATGGCTCTTTTTTAGAGCCGTAGGATGTTCGTTCTTCAATCCCGCGTCTGGTACCTTAGCAGCAGGTGTCTCTGGAATTTCAGCATCTTAAGGTTAAGTGTAAAAGGTAAGCTTTTGTGGTCAAAGTATTTTTGTCAAGTAGCTTAAAAGGGCTTCTACAGGAAGTCAAATCTTTTACGGTTCACCATGTGCTTTGAATCATCAAGTACAGGATCTAAGGTATATTTTCCTACGGATCTTTTCAACTGGACCACAGTATATACTCTGAGAAATGCTGTGTTCGTCATTGTCACTGTGCCGGTGATTCTAACCTCCAAGCCTCTGCTGGAATTAGGCTGACGGGTGGGGAATAGCCAGTACGAACTGCTGGAGCCCAGAGGTCGGAGCAGGCCAAGCGTTGCCCGTCAATACCAGCCCCATAGAATTGTTTAGCCTGTCTGCTTCCGCTGGGCACCTACTATCCATGGACAATTTCAGTTCTGGAGGAAACCTCCCAAATGTTTTGGATGCCAGCCTTATTGAAGCTTGAGGCCTCTCACTCACTCAGACACATTTCGTTGTTCTCATTACATGTAGAAATTGTTTGTTCTCATTTTTATTTGCTTGAACTGAGACCAAAATGGCAACATCCTTTGACCATGTTAGAGATGAAGAGTTCTAGTCAAGACAAAGAATCACTACCATGTAGCAATTTATAGTCTCATTTGTAGTTTGCAGCTCTCCAACATTTGACCATTTTTAGGGTTCCAGGATTTCAAGGGAAATTAGCATTTTAAAAAATGTATTTTAGAGGAGGGAAGGGAGAAACATCGATGGGCTGCCACCTCCTGCACACACCCCAACAGAGAATAGAACCTGCAACCTGGGTATGTGCCCTGACCGGGAATCGAACCCAACACCTTGTGGTGCACAGGATAATGCTCCAGTCAACCGAGCCACACTGGCCAGGGCAAAATTACAATTTAAAACAAAATTAGGCATCTGTCCAAACATAACTAAAACATTACTTGTATAAATTACACTTCAGTAAACAAGGCTTTTTAAAAAATTAAGGAAGTCTACATTTTAGCATAGTCTCATGAGGAAGGTACTTGCTTTAATACTCGTGCAGTTTTTGGCCAGTTCTGGGGGATGTTATTGCTGCAGGCAGCTGTGCTCAGTGGCTGGGGCCATCTGGGAGATGTGCAGCTCCCGGTGTCCCTGAGAGATTAGAAGTTGGTGGTGGACCCACACTCGTGCCTCTCAGGCCTCCTACAAGAGCCGGCGGATGTGCCAGGCCACATGCCCCGGGGCTGTTCTCCGCCAGTGATGGACTGGCAACGATGGAGGAAGGCGTGCTCTGGAGATGTGGGACTCCTGAGAAGCGGGACTTTGGGTGGAGGGCTCCGTCAGCCTTACTGAAACTTTCTTAGACCCGAACCCACGTCTGAGACAGTCTTTAATTCCTTCCCTCTCCTTCATATGGGTCACCCCTTACTCCACAACTCGGGCTGGCCCAGCAACCTCCAGCTCTCTCCTTTTCCCAAATAGCAGTTTCCACAATAGATCTCCTGTACATCTAATGCCACCTCGGTGACTGCTCCGAGGGCAGACCAGCACACTGGGGTGTTGATTCTCCCACTCCTGTCTTACTCTGGTTGAAGGCGCCCCCAGGACATCACCTGGTGGACACCCCAGGCTGGCTGCACCAGCCCCAAGCAGCCCTGGGCAGAGCTGCAGGTGCTCGGCGCTGGACGTGGTGGGGCACTATCACTTCATATGACAGTACTAAGTCTCAATAAAATAATTTTCCTTTTCAAAAGCCTTTACTTATTTTTAAAAAAATACATTTTTTATTGATTTCAGAGAGGAAGAGGGAGCGAGAAGAACATCAATGACGAGAGTCATTGATCAGCTGCCTCCTGCAAGCCCCCACTGGGGATGGTGCCCGCAACTCGGGCAATGTGCCCTGACAGGGAATGGAACCTTGAATCTCCCGGATCATAGGTCGATGCTCTACCACTGAGCCACGCTGGCCAGGCCTTTACCTATTTTGAAGTCAATCCAGAAGACTGCTCCACAAGGAAAAAATTAGACAAGACTTCAGCTTTATTAAAATGTCACCCTCTGAATTTATCCTTAGTTCCCTTCCTAAGAAAGGCTGTCCCCTGCTCTCTCAGAAACACACCCTTTCTGGTGGAGACAGGAGAACCATGTGATCTCTGCTAAAATCACATCACACCAAGGTCCCAGTGTGGTGTTCAAACCCAGCGCTGAAACAAAAGAGAGCCTGGTGCATTTCACAGGATAACAGTCCCAAAGTCCCCTGCAACAGTCCTTAAAAGCAGGTAGAGGAAACGCCATCAGTCTATCGGTTTGGAAACAAATTCAAGGCACGAAAGATGTGCATGTCAGCTACACACGTTTGTACATTTTATTCCACTGAAGCTGAATAGGTGTTCTCATTTTAATTTTTTAGTAAGCTACTAAGGTATTACAAAATATTCATTTGGAATGAATATGTAGGCATCAGCTGTGTTTCTACAAGACATAACATCGTCAGAGCAGTGAGTGCGTGGCACTGTCCTACATGTTATGTGAGTTGACCTCGGGTGCACATGCTGACAGCCTCGCTACATTAACTCACCTGAAATGCTCTAAATAAACTAGTCGCCAGCAAATACAACAAAGGACAAATTGAAAATTAATTTAATGCTTGGCTAAAGCTTCATTACATATGTAATTATCAAACAATAGTCCTTAATTTCTAAAAAGTTCCTCTTTTGAAAATCACAGAATCAGAAAGCATAAACTTTAAAACAAGTTCTCCGGGTATTTACATCATGTATAAACATTATAGAAGACCATGGACATTCAACTGCCTGGCGTGGGGCGCACCAGCAAGGCGCATTCTTTATTGCATATGTACTCACGTGTATGGGGTTTTAAATGACAAGACACTAAATTCAAATGCATGGACTTGGAAGCTGGTAAGAGAGTAAAATCACGAATGGGACAGAATAGCCCAAAACCATGCAGTTAGGTTACGGGTCTATTAGTTTAAAAAATTAAACTTATGTGTTCTTTTCAAAACCCTACGTTGCATATGTTAAGAGTCGCACGAAGCCCACGTCCGACCGCAGTGCTGACTCCGGGAAGGGAGCTCACTGTCGCCCAGTGATTACGCCCACACTCGGCGCTCGGGTGTAGGCTGCGCGGCTACAGTGACAGCACTGCTGACCAGAGGTGAGGACACGTAGTCATTGCCAGCCCTTTGTTGCAACAGTGGAGTGATTTTCCTAAGACAAGTTGCTACTGAATAGTTTTCTGCTGTTAAAAGGCTTACTCTGTAGAAAAACACCACAAACTTCCAGTGTGAAAGTAACTCCATGGTGGTATAAATATATATATATATGCATTAATTACACAATTTACACGGCAACATTGTTTACAGAGAACAATTAACTGAGAGGGCTAACTGGAATAACCATATAAAATACTCCTGTAAACAAAGTAGGGCAGGCAGTAAGGAAAACATTCATCAACTTCCTGGAAATAATCTGAATTCTTCATTCTGAAGAAATCGCATGTAAGGACACAGTATTGGATATTAATAATGTTCTTTGTATTAAAACAAGAATCACTATTTTACAGTTTAAGAAACTTTACATATATACAGAGTTTATACATGAGGAATGGTATTAAAGCCGGCGGGCTGTTCACTCTCAGGTCTATTTTCCTTCCATCAAAGACTTAACTTCTTTCACATTGTGCTCGCTTGCGACAGACACGGCGTGATCCAGAGCGTGGACACTTGCAAGGAGCTTCACTATTTGTTTTATGTTTTCCCTGAAAGAGAAAAAAGTGTAGCAGCATCTCATTAATTAGCACAAAAGCCCCAAAGGAAACATTAACTTTTTGACCATTTTTGAGGTTTTACAATTAATTTTTCCAAGCATACATTTTTAAAGAAAAGCAAAGAGATAAGCGAGCTACAGCGTATTTAAAATACATATATTTATCCACATAAAACAAAACCATCTGAATTCTTCATTCTGAAGAAATCGCATGTAAGGACACAGTATTGGATATTAAAAATGTTCTTTGTATTAAAACAAGAATCACTATTTTACAGTTTAAGAAACTTTACATATATACAGAGTTTATACATGAGGAATGGTATTAAAGCTGGCGGGCTGTTCACTCTCAGGTCTATTTTCCTTCCATCAAAGACTTAACTTCTTTCACATTGTGCTCGCTTGCGACAGACACGGCGTGATCCAGAGCGTGGACACTTGCAAGGAGCTTCACTATTTGTTTTATGTTTTCCCTGAAAGAGAAAAAAGTGTAGCAGCATCTCATTAATTAGCACAAAAGCCCCAAAGGAAACATTAACTTTTTGACCATTTTTGAGGTTTTACAATTAATTTTTCCAAGCATACATTTTTAAAGAAAAGCAAAGAGATAAGCGAGCTACAGCGTATTTAAAATACATATATTTATCCACATAAAACAAAACCATCTGAATTCTTCATTCTGAAGAAATCGCATGTAAGGACACAGTATTGGATATTAAAAATGTTCTTTGTATTAAAACAAGAATCACTATTTTACAGTTTAAGAAACTTTACATATATACAGAGTTTATACATGAGGAATGGTATTAAAGCTGGCGGGCTGTTCACTCTCAGGTTTATTTAAACCACGTTTAAATTACCCATTTTCAAAAACAAAAACATCCAAAAAGTGTATTCAGATTTTTTTAACTAGTACCCAGAAAAGAAAGCGATCTATTTCCCACCTACTCCAGGGCTGCCTCCCACTCCTTCCCAACCACAGTCCCAGTTCTTTGAGAATACAACTGGAGCCCAGATTATATTTCTGTGTGCTCACCACCCATCCATCAGGACCCAGCACAATTCCCTCTCCAGAATTCACAACTGAGGCACAGGCGGTTCCTTACACCCCGGCTAGAAGCCATTCTGCCTTCTCATGAAGCACTCCTCACATTTTAGCAAACGCAGAGCCGTAGAGGTTGCTAACACAGCTCATCAGGCCCCGCCCCCGAGCCCTGACTCAGCAGGTGAGTGGGCCTGAGACTGCATTTCTAACACAGCTCCCCGGACACACTGGTGAGGCTGGTGCGGGATCCACTCTAAGATCAACTGTTTCTCAACATTTAGTCTGAACTACTTCTGAATGTTTCACACAATGCGACATGATTAGTTGTCTCTTCTCCACAAAACTGTAGTATCTTTTAGGAAGGATTAAAATCTGTAAAACTGCACCTACATGGAACCATTTTATGTGCACTGCACATAGCAGGTGCCGAAAGCTCTTTTCTGTCCAAAAGTAAACACGGTTTGTTACATTTAAGTCAAACAAAACAGTATTAAAAAGTGGAAAGAATGTACCTAAAAATGTAACACCTTAAGAAGAAATATTAGTGCCAACAAATAACCAACACCAAAGGTGAAATTAAAATATAAGGCAAAATTATCTGCCAAATAATTTTACCACGAAAATCTTTACTACCTACTTTGCTTTAAAAAAAAGAAAAAAAAAAAGGTTACCATTGATTTTAGAGAGAGGGAGGAAGGGAGAAATAGAGAAAAAATCAAGAGAGAGACACCAATCGCCAGCTTCTGCAGGCCTTCCACAGGGATGGAGCCGAAACCTGGGCAACAATCAACCAACTGAGCCACAGGGGCCAGGGCTACCTGCTTTGCATTGTATCATAAAGGAGCAAATTCCCTTTATTTACACGTGAAAGAAATGAGGAAGAAAACAGGTCGGTTATAGCTGCGATTAGTGGTGCGATCCAAAGGAAAATGGGATATGAGAAAGACTATATAGAATGAAACGTTTAAAAAGAAAATTCTCTCAAATTATACTACTATTTATTTTATGCTAGAGATTTATCCCAAAAGTACATGAACATCCAAAACAATGTCCACAAAAAGAATCACCCTTCCTTCCTTGCAACCTTTGATAAAAACTATGTGTAAGCTGCTCCCCAAAACTCCCAAGTGATGACCTTCAGTCTATGATACGGATACAGAAACCTCAACACAGACCACAAGTGTCTGGGAGATCACCTGAAACATACTCTGGGCCTCACTATCTTTTCCAGGGTTTTATCTGTACAGTGAATCCCCAAAGACCAGGGCCCATTTATCTACAGCTTGAATCTCCCCAACTCTTCAGAGGAGGGGGCAGAAAGCAATGACTCATTCATTCCCCTTAGGCCTGGTCTTCACCAGAAGCCTTTCTTAATGCCTTCATAAAATATCCTATTGAAAAAGATTAGGCAAAACCACAAAAATAGAAAATAATGTGTATTTTTGGTACATTTACCAAGACTAAGTCAATATATAGTTTAAACTATAAGCACGTCTCTACTTAAATATTTGCATAATACCAAGTGTAACAAATAAGTATAGACAAGACCACCATATTTCATTAAACAGTCACAAATGATTACCTTGCATTTCTTTTCTCCACATCAGAGCATCCGATGCTGTTTCTGTAAATTGTATCTGCTAAGTGTACAAGGTATCGACAGAAGTTTTCTAACTGAGAAATGGTTCTTTCTCCTTTCAGATTCATGAACCACTGCTTGGGGAAACAATTGATTACCTAAGGAGAAGGCGCAAAATGAAATAGTTGACCCAGAATAAACAGAGGTGTCTAACAGCTGAGCATAGATCATGGTGTACTGCATTTACCTAGAAGGCTTTCTACTGGGCTTTATGTAACTACTCTGAGGGGATGTTCTGTCAACCTGTACTATGTAATTTTCCTTAATATACCTGAATTTTTACTTCACCACATAGATCAGACACTCAAAGCAAAAAACAAATAACTTGTCCAGTATTCAAATATATTAGAGACATAACACTAATAACCAAATGCTTCCCTCTCCAGTCNAAGATCAGACACTCAAAGCAAAAAACAAATAACTTGTCCAGTATTCAAAAATATATTAGAGACATAACACTAATAACCAAATGCTTCCCTCTCCAGTCTTCCAGGAAGCCCTAAATGAACTGAGTTCTTCTTTATTAGCAGCTTTTGACTTAAAAGCATGTGCAGTGAAAATATCAAATGAGGCCCCTCCCCCCTGTCAAGCAATTCCACTGGGAGGCAGCCACATTGGCAGTGGAGCTGTGCTGGCCTAGAGCAGGGTGAAGAGGGCTTCACACCAGAGGGGCAGCCTCGGGCAAGAGCCTAAGCAGGGTGAGAAGGGCATGGTGGCTGCACAAACCCAAGCAAGGGAGGCTGAGTCCTACATGGAGAGGGCAGCCCACCCCAGGGATCAGTCTGTGTGCAGAGAAGGAGCCCCCAGCCCCACCAGAGAACCCATGGATGCTTGGAAAAATGACTGAGTCCAGGGCTGGGGCTGAGCAAGTACCAGATGGGCGTGAACATCATGTGCCAGAAAGCAAGAAAGTGCTCCTCAAAATGAGGACAAGTCACAAGGTCACAGAAGTCCACTTGAAGGGACTGACACTGATGAAATCTGGGATAATTTTGGCCAAAGACGCAGAGTCTGAATCGAATGAGATGATCTAACAAACCCAAATTGAGGGACATTCTACAAAATAACTGGTCTATCATCTTAAAAAATGTAAAGGTTATGAGGTCAAGAAAAGACTGGACAACTCCTCCAGATCTGAGGGGACTGAAGAGACATGACCATCACATGCAAGAGAGGACCTGGGACTCCTGCCAATCACGAATACTGCTGATAACTGACCGCACTTGTAGAAGGTTCTGAGGACCAGGTTACAGTAACAAACACCTTCCTGGTGCTGATGGGTAAGTGTAGTCTTGGAGCATAACCATGTTTACAGGAAACAGACACAGAAGTATCTGCGGGCCAGAGGGCGTCATGTCAGAGAGACTCTGACGCTGGCTGTTGGGGAAAAACTGCTACACTGGCAAATCTGCTTTAATTTTGTGATTGCCTCAAAAAACATTTTTTAAACGGTCAAATTAGGGAATTCATGTATAAAGTAGAAAACAAAACAATATTTAATAGTTCACTTCTTAAACAAGAAAATAAACTATTTCTTTAGTAACATNTTTAATAGTTCATGTATAAAGTAGAAAACAAAACAATATTTAATAGTTCACTTCTTAAACAAGAAAATAAACTATTTCTTTAGTAACATTCAAAACAGCATTCATTCCACTGTTAAAAAATTACCCTGAAATTAACTTCTATTAATAGCGACAAAAATACTGACATAGACAGATAGAGATATGCATATACAACGATGCAGATTTTTATGTAAAAAATGCTGTGGGGTTTGGAACAACCGTAGACTAAGTCTAATAATCAAAGGGGTTTTCGTAAAATCTCAAATTTCTCTTCAAACAAAGAAAACAACTCATTTCCATGAAAACTGCTAAGATGTGTTATTTAACTCACATTTTGNTATGAGATATGCATATGTATATGCATAGAGATATGCATATACAACGATGCAGATTTTTATGTAAAAAGTGCTGTGGGGTTTGGAACAACCGTACACTAAGTCTAATAATCAAAGGGGTTTTCGTAAAATCTCAAATTTCTCTTCAAACAAACAACTCATTTCCATGAAAACTGCTAAGATGTGTTATTTAACTCACATTTTGGGCTTTCTTGATGCTGTCATCTCCATATTCCGAATTCTGAAAAGCCATGAGAATGTATCTATTTAATAAACCATCTATTGACAACTCCTGAAGAGTTTTATTCGAGAAAATGCCATACCATTGGAGGAAATTCCCTAAGAGCTAGAAAAAAGAAAAAAATAGTGAGAAGCAATATCAAGCAATTAAATTAGGCACAAAATAAATTAGTTACATAGTAAAATAAAACACCTTATAAAATACAGAGAACCTTGTCTTGCAAAAGTACTAATAAGTTGTTTTTTTTTTTTTAAATCCTCCCTGGAGGATATTTCCATTGCTTTTCAGAAAAGGGGGGGGG